TATTACATGATCGACTATCAATATACATTCATAATTTTTTGTTATATTATTATTGAATTATTTTACTATTTTATAATTTTTTTAAGATCCTTAACTTGTTTATTTATGCAACATTCACCTACTATTTTGTTGTGTTTTTATTTTCTTTGATAAACAATTTATTGAAAGTTTTTTCTAATATTAATTAATTTTTATTGTGAATCTTTTGTGAGAATGAACAATTTTGTGTTTAAATGAGAACAAAATCGAGTTTGAAATAAGTAGAAAATGTGTTTGATTTATTTTTATTTGGGGGGAGGGGGGAGAGAGAGAGAGAGAGAGAGAGGTTTATTATTGATAGTAATCAAAATAATTCCAAGTACGAGGCCGGATCAGGAGGTCAGACATGCAGGTCTGGAAAAGAAGTCAGGAAAAACACGCAGAGCCTAGGTCAGAACTAGAGCTCCCCACCCCCAGGCGCGCCAACAGCGAAAGTGATAAGGAAACAACTGGATGATAATAGAAATCTATTAGGTGGCAAAGAGCCATACTCGAGGCATAAAATCCTTAACCGCCCAAGATCCTCTCCCAAGATTAAGGAGAGTTCCTCGGATAAATAACAAGGATCTCGGTGCAGATCCCATAGAATTAGGAACAGCCCTATAAATATTATGTAACTCTCCCAAAGCAGCGGGGAACCCTAACAACATATGCTCTATCCAGTAGACCTTCAAAAGAATAAAAAAAGAGAAAAGGAACAAGAATCTCCATTGAATAGTGGACTAGCCAAGCTTCCGAGCTGGTGAACTACTATACTTTTATTTGTGCAAGTCTCCCCCAATCCCCAGTAATCTTAAAACACGAACTATATGAGCCTCGTAGCTCAGGTCCCAGGTCTCAAGAGTAATCCATTCCTTCTGCCCATCCACACTAATTTACACCATCAGTTTTGGATGAAGTAAGTTTTAAAAAAAAAAAAGAGAGAAAAGGGGGCAAGGGCGAAGGTGGAAAGGAACGTTACCTGCTACCTCCTCAGCTCTGACAATGGAGAGTGGAATGGGGGCTTCTACTGTTACCACTGGAAGGCTGAACCCTTCCCTTACTAGAACCCAAGGCTTGATGAGTTCAGAGTACTTTTCTGGTTTATAGTTTTCCAACCTCAGCAACACCTGTTCGTCTACAGTGCTGAGCTCAGGACGAACACCTGAAAAACAAAATAATACAGGACAAGATCAGGTGGGCTCTCCAAATCCGAGCTTGGGTAGTTTAAGTAAGGACGTACCCAAGTTACCAGGGGCAGACCAGGCTCTACGAATGGGGAGAGTATCTGTCTTATCAGCCAGATTGTACTCCCAATGTTCTCCCCACAAGAAGAAAAAGAGTTTTCTCTAGCCCTTGTGGGAGCTCGGGAGGTCAGAAATAATTTGTTTAGCCTTTACCCATTTAGAAACATACAAGAAACCATTAGTAGGGGTATACTTAACATTGAAAATTTTCATTAGTAGGGAGACAGTGGGAACACCGAGCTGGTGTAGCTTGAAGAAAACAAGGAGGCCCACCAGGACACCCCAGAAGTTGGGAAAGATTTGAGCTGGACAGACGTTGAAATGTTGAAGGACACTCTTGACAAAAGGGAGTAAGGGAAAACGCAGACCATTCTCAAAGGCAACAATAAAGGAACAAACTTTCTTATGGACCTGAGAGACATATGAGGTAAACTTATCTGGGCACCAGAACTAAACTCCTTGGGGAAAATCGTAGCGAGCACTAAGGACCTTCATTAGAGATGGGTGAACCTCATTGGGGCCTGCGAGCTCAGCAGCTCTAAAGACAGCCCTTGCGCCTTCAGCACCGCCTGAAACACCAACTCCACTTACCTTAGTCTTGTCTTTATTAGAATTTTTGGGCGCAGGAGAGACAGATATGGGAGTTTCCTCGGTGTTTCCCTCAGTTTCAGCATAATCAACACCAGGGAATTTGTCAATTTCTTCACCCATCTCGCCTAAATCTGAGTTATCCTCAGCAGACCTATCCCCCAGGAGGGAAACAGAGGAAGGGGTGACTTCGGAAGAGGCAGACACGGTGGGACAAGAAAAAGGGAGTCTAAAGGTGCGATAAAGAGGAGGAATATTCACGAAACACTCCCTAAGGGTTGGGGGAGCAACACAGCAACTCCCAATAAGGAAGACCCTAGCGGTTGAATATGGGTCCAAGAAAAGGGGAATTTGAAACAACGATCGACCTTGGTTTCTAAAATAGCAAAATCGAAAGGTCCAAAAATACAAGAACCACCTCAAATTTGAGGGATCCAGAACGAAGAGACAAATAGAGGGCAAGAAGCGTATCTAGGAGAGGAGGAATAGTAGGGCAAAGCTAGAATCGGAGGCAAAAAGCAAATCTCGTTGAAACCTTGGATTAAATCAGGGAAGTGAAACCCTAGTGGCTCCAACATAATCGAAAAGCTGAAAGTTGCGGGAAGAAGAGAGGGAAAAAGTGCAGAGAGGGAATTCAAAGGATGAAATGAACCGCTTCCCCTCAATTCGGGGGCATTTAAAGTTAATGGTACAGAGTGGAGAATGTGCACAAGAAACTAGGAAGTGAAATGATTGCCTGAAACTGTCAAAAACCTGTTCGCACGTAAATCGAGATCTGTATCTAGAGGTCTGTCTTGATTAAGCCTCAGCTTAGCCCCACCCAAGCTCACTTGGAGTAATGGTTGGGGGGCAACTGATAGTACTCAAAATAATTCCAAGTACGAGGCTGGATCAGGAGGTCAGACCAAGAGGTCAGACATACAAGTCTGAAAAAGAAGTCAGGAAAAACACGCAAAGCCCAGGTCAGAGCTAGAGCTCCCCCTAGGCGTGCCAACAGTGGAAGTGATAAGGAAACAGCTGGATGATAATAGAAATCTATTAGGTGGCAAAGAGCCATACTCGAGGAATAAAATCCTTAACTACTCAAGATCCTCTCCCAAGATTAAGGAGAATTCCTTGAATAAATAGCAAAGATCTCAGTGCAGATCCCATAGAACTAGGAACATCCATATAAATATTATGTAACTCTCCCAAAGCAGCGGGGAACCCTGGCAACATATGCTCTATCCGGTAGACCTTCTGAATAATAAAAAAAAAAAAAAGAAAAGGAGCAAGAATCTGTATTGAACAGTGGACTAGCTAAACTTTCGAACCGGTGAACCACTATACTTTTATTTGTGCAAGTCTCCCCCAATCCCCAGTAATCTTAGAACACGAACTATACGAGCTTCGTAGCTCAGGTCCCAATTCTCAAGAGTAATCCATTCCTTCTGTCCATCCACACTATTTTACACCATCAATTATTATAATTTTTTGTCGAAGTATTAACCATTTTTCTATTCATTAATAAATATATATGTGTGAGATGGAGTGCACTTTTATACCTAAATTTTAAATTTTATTTTGTTGACTTAATCTTTTAGGAGTTTTTTTTGTAAAGTTAAATTATAATGAGTTTTTAACATTTAATCTATACTTCATTATTGAACTCTAAAATTTGAGGTTTTTTTTTATATATTGGGCCTAATGTCCATGCTTTTTTGACTCTGATGTTGAGCTGGCGTGATTGAATCGCATGTAAGCCTCTAATATTTAATCAATGGTTATTACTATTGCCCCCGTTTTGTAACAAACACCAATACACTTCCTTTAGTCTTCATTCACTAGTGACTTGAGATGAGCCACCTTATATTAAATAAATATGAGTAAATGTAATGTGTGCTATTTTATTTTATACTANAGGTCCAAAAATACAAGAACCACCTCAAATTTGAGGGATCCAGAACGAAGAGACAAATAGAGGGCAAGAAGCGTATCTAGGAGAGGAGGAATAGTAGGGCAAAGCTAGAATCGGAGGCAAAAAGCAAATCTCGTTGAAACCTTGGATTAAATCAGGGAAGTGAAACCCTAGTGGCTCCAACATAATCGAAAAGCTGAAAGTTGCGGGAAGAAGAGAGGGAAAAAGTGCAGAGAGGGAATTCAAAGGATGAAATGAACCGCTTCCCCTCAATTCGGGGGCATTTAAAGTTAATGGTACAGAGTGGAGAATGTGCACANTACATGGTGTTCAACTTCTAATTTTTGAAATTGGAACCTTTAAGAGTTGGGTGTTAAGAAATGTAGGTTTGGTGTTCGAAACAATTTGAGAAACTATTTTCTTGAACTTTCAAAAATTTCGAGGTCGTTTGGCTCAATGGAGAGGGGTAGATTAACGAGTGGCGTCAAACAATAATTTTGGCAGGTTAACTTGGTTTGGGCTACCCGGGTGGTGGGTTTAAATTAGCTAACAATTGGACTCAATGGGATTAAAGGTAAAATGACTTATATATATTTTTTTTGATAAATAAGAAAGGGTGGGGGCAAAAAAGAATGCCCAGCGACCACCCCGACAGGTCCTCACCGATGGGATCACGAGGCTCCTGACCGCGCCTGAAACACATCTCGGAATATATGACTTATATATCCTGCTTTAAATCAAACACTTTATTGGATGAAAGGGATTATTGTCATAAAACAATCTNCAGGTCCTCACCGATGGGATCACGAGACTCTTGACCGCGCCTGAAACACATCTCGGAATATATGACTTATATATCCCTGCTTTAAATCAAACACTTTATTGGATGAAAGGGATTATTGTCATAAAACAATCTCATCATTATAAAAGATGATATTTGATTTGAATTTATCTTGGGTGTTTACAAGTGTATTTTATATCCTTATTTTTCTCTATCTAATCATATTTTTATTCAAATTTACCAAAAAATCTCAATTGGATGTCTTTGGATTAGTCTATCTTAACCCAATCTTATCCGAATAGACAAAATTTACTAGACGATCAACATGAACTTTGTCATTTATAATAAATCAAAATAAAGAGTAACATATAAGTAGCTTTTTCCTTAAAATATTAATTAAGCGACGAATGCTGTATAACCCAATTCAATCTATTTGAGTCATAATAGGGCATACTTAGTGATTATGGGTAAATTCTTGAAATATAGGAAGACAGTCTATACAATTGAGTTAAGCCATTGGAAGTACTTGACAATTTTGCCTGTCCTTTCACCAACAACAAGATTTTGGAGAGAGAAATGTAAACAAACAACCCGTGACAATTGTACGACCTATTAAAGGAATCAACTTTTGAGAGAGAGATAGAGATTCAAAAGATGACCCCGTCACATGCTCTCATTACAAAACTACAAAGAAATGACTTCATCGAATTTTAGTAATAGTGACAAATCCTACATAAAACCAAGGCCATCCCACAAGCAATACCAAAAAAAAAAGATACCTTACAAGCAAAGATACTTTACGTATCAAAAAAAAAACACCACAAAAATCCAACTGAAACACCAAACCCCCACAATTGCATCATCATATCAACTCACTACAACAAAACCAAGTAAGACTACAACACCAAATAGTCACGTTTTGGTTTTGTACCGAAATTACAATAAAATAAGGGTAAATTTATGACTCAAATAAATTTGATTACGACCAAATAAAATTGTTTGAGACTAATTCTAACCGTTTAAGATGAACCTGAATTGTTTTGAGCCGTAACTTATCCTTATTTTGATGTAAATTTCAATACGGTACCAAACTCAATTTCGTATCTTACCCAACAGAACTAATCAGGTACAGGGCTCACGAGCCACACCCAGCCTCGAATTGGGCACATCAAAAAGGATCCTATGGTTCTGTTGCTGCAGGTTGGCTATCACATTGAGCACAGAGTTGACGTTAACTGGAGCTGCTGCCATGGCCAAGCATGTGGTGCTGCCTGCAGTGCTATGTATCAAAAAGTTGTCCTGTGGGAGCGTGACGTTCATGCCGGAGAACATGAACATTATTGACGGCACGGTGACCGGGACCGTGTAGCACGTGTCGAACCCGCCGAGGGAGGAGACGGTAGCGTTTCCCATCCGTCGCCGGAACTCATCTCTCACCGGAATGTAGGCTGCTTGGACTAGGCGGGTGAAGACAGTTCCTGTGATTTGTATGCAGATATAAATGCAGTCTCAATGCAGGGTTTTAAAGTATACATAATTTTGAACGACAATGCTATAGAACTTAATTTGGGAAATTCAATTACGGATTTAATTTAATATAATTATTAGATTAGTTGTGAATTCTAATTAAATAAAACTTATTTTCAATCTAACAATTGTAAATAATTAGAACCTCAATTAAGGTGTCCAACTCTACGATGGATCCAGATCCTCTCTGTTACATTTTCTTTTCAATTTTATTTCTTGGCACACCATTTAGTTATAAGTCGGAAAGAAATTTACCGGAATCGATAATGGTCCCGGCACCGGTATTGGGATCAAATGATAAGGCGCTTGCCGGGATGTCAACGATTCGCCGTCCGACTTTAATTCCGATCAAGTTCACATAGTAAAATGATGCCCTTCTGGGGTTCCTCAGCAATGGTGTATACTTGATTCTCTTAGGCTGGCCAACTGGGCCTAGTCGAAGTGATCCTGAGAAATTAAGAGACTTGAAGCTAGGCAAGCAGTACGAAAATGTGGATTGGTAGAGACTTTGGGTTTGAGATAACAGTGACAATGCACCCCGGCCCAGACCCAAAAGACCCTGCGGCGGCACCGAGCTTCCAGTGGCTGTTTGAATGCAGCCGAAGGTGTAGCCGGGGACGGCGTCAGTGGCTAGGGTTATGGTGTCTTGTGAGAGGTTTGCGGCTATGGTGGAGCCACCATAGGTCATGTTGAACCTGCACGCGCTTCCTCCGCAAGTGGGGTTTGGTACCTGTAATTGTGCCACCAAAGTGCTTGTTAATGCTAAAATAATTATATGTTGTACTTTTTGGTAATTAAGAAAAATAAAATCTTCTCATTAACATTAATTTGACGATGGATCCAGTATTTATTGAAACTTACTAATAATTTAATAATTATAATTCATTGAGTCAATAAATTATATCAACATTTTAAGTCTAATTATCATTTCTACTTCTGCTAACAAGCAGACGAAGTGGATGGGGTCCAGTTTTGGATTTACACTGTGGGACAGGTGATGGAAAAATTGTGACGATCATCACGCATCTAATTCATACTTTTGTGCCCGTGACTCCTCACTAGAGGTTAACATACTGAAATCATGTGGTGTGTAATCTGGACAGATCTAGAAAGTTAGTCATAGACAAAAGTATGCAAGAGACGACCGTTTTGAAATTTTTTGGAAAAGACATTAAGGGACATAGATTTTGAGGTGTTCAGGTCTTTTTTTCATAGATACTCGAAAAATGTAGGGTTTTATCTGTCAATAATCTTTGTTTGGGCACTTCCTTAAACATCTAGCTTTTTGGGATAAAAAAGAAATAGCTTTAGCTTGAGGGCGTAGAGATAATAGGAGATCTCAATCAAGATGCGGTTCTTTTGCAATTATTCCCATTATACACTGATTTTCGAAGTTGGTGGCACATCAGCTTATCAAATTATAACACGAAATTAGAGGATTTAAATATTCTTTAAGTCACCCGTTTCATAGTCGGATATGAGTGTGAGAGTTTTTTAATACAAATTTGCTTAAATCTAATACGATTGACAAGCCTAATCATATCATTCGAGATAAAAGGATACTGATATCATTGCTAGTGTGGTACCTGCTTGCACTGGACAGCATCACAACCAAGGGTCTTGAATGTGGAAGACTTAACCGGATCAAAAGTGGTAGAAGAGCACCCCACACACCCCCTGCAAGGCACCCAAGCAGCATCATTGCTAGTATCCACAGCCATGAGCATAATTTGAGCTGGTGTCCCAATCTTAGCCCTCACTACATAAGTAGGGCTCTGTANACGTGAAAATTGTACGACCTATTAAAGGAATCAACTTTTGAGAGAGAGAGAGAGATTCAAAAGATGACCCCGTCACATGCTCTCATTACAAAACTACAAAGAAATGACTTCATCGAATTTTAGTAATAGTGGCAAATCCTACATAAAACCAAGGCCATCCCACAAGCAATACCAAAAAAAAAAAGATACCTTACAAGCAAAGATACTTTACGTATCAAAAAAAAAACACCACAAAAATCCAACTGAAACACCAAACCCCCACAATTGCATCATCATATCAACTCACTACAACAAAACCAAGTAAGACTACAACACCAAATAGTCACGTTTTGGTTTTGTACCGAAATTACAATAAAATAAGGATAAATTTATGACTCAAATAAATTTGATTACGACCAAATAAAATTGTTTGAGACTAATTCTAACCGTTTAAGATGAACCTGAATTGTTTNAAAAAAAAAAAAAAGAGAGAAAGGGGGCAAGGGCGAAGGTGGAAAGGAACGTTACCTGCTACCTCCTCAACTCTGACAATGGAGAGTGGAATGGGGGCTTCTACTGTTACCTCTGGAAGGCTGAACCCTTCCCTTACTAGAACCCAAGGCTTGATGAGTTCAGAGTACTTTTTTGGTTTATAGTTTTCCAACCTCAGCAGCACCTGTTCGTCTACAGTGCTGAGCTCAGGACGAACACCTGAAAAACAAAATAATACAGGACAAGATCAGGTGGGCTCTCCAAATCCGAGCTTGGGTAGTTTAAGTAAGGACGTACCCAAGTTACCAAGGGCAGACCAGGCTCTACGAATGGGGAGAGTATCTATCTTATCAGCCAGATTGTACTCCCAATGTTCTCCCCACAAGAAGAAGAAGAGTTTTCTCTAGCCCTTGTGGGAGCTCGGGAGGTCAGAAATAATTTGTTTAGCCTTTACCCATTTAGAAACATACAAGAAACCATTAGTAGGGGTATACTTAACATTGAAAATTTTCATTAGTAGGGAGACAGTGGGAACACCGAGCTGGTGTAGCTTGAAGAAAACAAGGAGGCCCACCAGGACACCCCAGAAGTTGGGAGAGATTTGAGCTGGACAGACGTTGAAATGTTGAAGGACACTCTTGACAAAAGGGTGTAAGGGAAAACGCAGACCGTTCTCAAAGGCAGCAATAAAGAAACAAACTTTCTTATGGACCTGAGAGACATATGGGGTAAACTTATCTGGGCACCAGAACTAAACTCTTTGGGGAAAATCGTAGCGAGCACTAAGGACCTTCATTAGAGATGGGTGAACCTCACTGGGGCCTGCGAGCTCAGCAGCTCTAAAGACAGCCCTTGCGCCTTCAGCACCGCCTGNCCCTTGGGTTGAGGAGAGAGAAAGAAGGGCTAGTGAGAGGAGGAAGGGTAGTAGAGCAGGAGGTGAGCTCTTCATGGCTGTGGAGTGACTTGGGTTTGTGATGGTTGAGTGAGAGAAAGAGCGAGTATATATAATGGGTAAGACTAGCTAGGGGATCAAAAAAGATTTTTTTGGGTATAACCAAGTTACTACAAAAATAAGGTTATAGTGAGATTACTAAAATGAAGTTTTTTCTTTTCAATCTCAATATTTTAAGACTAATCCCGATTATTTTAGTAGTAATTCGACTTATATAACCCCAAAAAATTATACCTTGACTAAAAAATTAAATTCTTTGGTGTGATAACTCTTTCAGTGCCATAGCATCGGAAGTGCCCTTGTAGTGGAGGAAATGTATTGGCTAATATAGCAAGTGNGTGGATCCAGTATTTATTGAAACTTACTAATTATTTAATAATTATAATTCATTGAGTCAATAAATTATATCAACATTTTAAGTCTAATTATCATTTCTACTTCTGCTAACAAGCAGACGAAGTGGATGGGGTCCAGTTTTGGATTTACACTGTGGGACAGGTGATGGAAAAATTGTGACGNACATTAACGACTTCGGTACAGTACCGCCAATTACTATTTTTTTGATAAAATTATAATTTAAAAGGGAGAACAGGCTATGATCAATCAAGAATCCAAGATGGATCACAGACACATATGTTCGATCATGGACTTTTCCTGAGCAATTGTAACTTCTCCTTTTTGAGTTGTAATTTTATCAAAAAAAATTGTAATTTACAATTTAAAAAAGTTGTAATTTACACCTCAAAAAAATTATAAATTAACCTAAAAATGTTGTAACCGGCAGTACGTTAGCTCCTTCGGTACCGTAGACTTTGCCTATGAATTTGGGGATGTCACTTTGTTTTTCACATTGTTTATTTGTTTTTTTAGGGAGAGAAGAGAGAGAGAGAGAGAGAGAGAGAGAGTGGGAAAGAGACACATTAGACAACAAGCGAATGAGTTTTGATTATTTCGGAGGTGAACAGTCCTCTTCATATAATTAAAACAATCTGAGCATACATTCTGCCTGTTTTGTCCACTAATCAAATATAATAATCGCAGCATGTGAGGAAACCATAACAAATTTGCAATAAGCAACTAATAGGAACCCATTTCTAAATTTGGGCACTATTTTAATTTTGTTTCTTTGGTACAATTGTTTCTGACTTATTTCTTAGCCTATTGTTGTTTAAAAAAAAAGATGAAAGTGTTTGATTAAAGGGTTGTATGTATTGGATAGTATTGGATAGATTCAAATGTTTGCAGAAAGTTTTTTTGTGCATTCTCGTGGACTTGCCGGGAGTTTATAAAATTTTCAATTAGTATATAAAGTGACACAAATATTAATAATTAATTTGAAATAAAGGTATCCTGATGACAAACTATCATCTATTAACCCCAATAGTATAGCAAGTGATAACAGTAACGAGTTATAAACTCATATTTCTTGAGTTCGAATTTTGACAATACATTTGAGTCAAACCACGAGAGATTTATCCTTCATGAATACTCTAGTTCTAACACGAATGACATGCATTTGATCGGACCAAGGAGAGGATTAGTCAATGTGCGTGTAAGTTGATCCCGACACTCTTGACTGTTAAACCACAAAAAATAAAATAAAAAAATTACCATTTATTAGTTTTTTGGTTTAACACGTGAAAATCTATATTATACTCTACTGTAAGAAGAGAAAAGAACCAATACAATGGGTGATGCACAAGATCAATATACCTGTTAAGTGGAATTATTTACCAAAATGCCATTCTTTTTAAATAATATTACCAAAATACGGTAGTTTTGAACTTGTTTACTAAATTACGATTATTTTTAAAAGTTGATTCAACAATTACGCTGTCATTGAAAAAATGAATTTAGTAAATCTCCTTTCATGTGTAAACAATAAAAGAAAGTGTGGATGAAAATTCCGTGTTTAGTTAAAAAGCGAATTTAGTAAATTCATTTTTTCTATGGAAGCGTAATTACTAAATCCGCTTTTAAATTAAAATTAGCATCTCCATCCACGCTTTCAGGAGAATGAGGCTGTTGTAATAAATTTGTATTGACCATGAAAACGTATTTACTGAATTCGCTTTTACTTGAAAACGGATTTACTGAATCCGCGTTTATTTGAAAATAGATTTACTAAATCCGCTTTTAGATTAAAAGCGAATTTGATAAGTTCTCTTTTTGGAAGAAACAATATTTTTCAACTTTACTATTTTTTTACTGTCCAAACGTCCTTTGGTGTTTTTTAAAAGACTAGCAGTGGACGACGTAAATTTAAATAGTTTTTTTTTTAGAAAATGTAAATTATATGTGTAATTAAATTAAATAATAAATTAAGTACCAAAATTAATCTATATTTTAATTATTAAGGTATCTCTTCAATCACTTTAGGCATTTGGATATCTAATTATATTATAGAATTAATAATTTTTTCTTTGTTAAATAGGTTGATTAGATCACTTGTAATATTATTATATTATTATGTACCAAAAGAATAAAATATAACATATATTTGACCGTGAAATTCAATTTGATAACTTTATGTGTATAATAATTTAATATATGTAAGATTTTACTTTGTCATATAAATCTAAAAAAATTATATATAATTGTATTACTAATAAATGAGTTCAAAAGAATTTAGAAGTTCTTATAAAATAGTCCAAAATAAATTGAAGGTCAAATAGGAGTAAAAAAACAAAAATTAGATGAAAATATATAGGTGGGTATAATTGACTTTATCATAATAATTATGAGTAAATAGAAAATCAAAATTTTTTCGCTGATGCTGAACTTCATGTATATAATAATTTAACATATATATGATTTTACTTTTTCATATAAATCTAAAAAATTGTAGATAATTGTATTAATAATAAATAAGTTCAAAAGAATTTAGAACTCCTTACAAAGGAGTCCAAAATAAATTGAAAGTCAAACATAAGTAAAAAATAAAAATTAGATAAAAGTAGATAGGTGGGTATAATTGACTTTATCATAATAATTAGGAGTAAAATAAGAAATTAAAAATTTTTCGCAGATACTGACATTTATAAGTAGTATAGATTACACAAAAATAATAATCCTTTACGGATGACATAATTGTGTATATCTAATCGTTTTTTTTGCTTTTAACAATCAACTTAATCTACAATGTAAATAACATAATAGTTAATTTATTTATCTGAAATAAGAATACAAATGATCATGATCATATGAAATGCAAGATAAATACAATAATATATGTTTTCTAATGAAGATCACATTGCAAACAACATAGTGGTTTGCCACGTACGCACACACTGGCAAGGAGAAATTTTTCATACTCATCATCAGTTGAATCATCAAAGTCTGATAGTTCATGGTCAGGAGCTAGTAATGGATCTGATAATATTGCATTAATAGTATCGACAGGATCTGAATGCTCTATCTTTGCCTTGTTGATAGAGTGGAATTGATCTAGATGTCATTTGCATTTGATCAGTTTCACATTGAAGTTTTGCTATGATATCATTATAGTTGTGCACCATTTCACGTATATTTCAGTTGAATATGCTTGTGGTACTCGTAATCTATGCCAACAACAGTATACTTCAAGCTCATAGTGCTTGAAATATTAATTCAACCACTTTGGTCCCTGTAGGTGGTAATAGAACTCTAAAGGCAGAATAATTGTTGCAGGTCTAATAATCACATAGTCGACTTATGTGAAAGGATTATGAACGTTGATTGACTCATTGTGAAAGTCACTGAAGTTTCCATACCACTTTACATTGTTGGAATCTGTGTAGTTACCAGGTTAGATCCTGGTGTGTAGCATGATGTTGACCACCGTTGCTCAAGGAAGAATTTGGAATCTAATTGCACATAGTCTTAGTTGGCCGACGCATGTAGACAATTATGAGGGCATTCATATTTTTTAATCTGAAATATTCTGTGCGTTATCTTTTGGCAAGCCTTGAGCCGCCACTTGCTCCCAAATTGGTGTTTTTTACACTGTAAAGCTAATAATTTTCTCTCACTCTCAACTATCTCGAATTGGACATGATTTCTAATAAAAAAAAGTTTTCACTACATCATGCAACTTTGATTTGGACTTGAAGATTAGTCCTTTGGATAATTCAGACTGGCGGGGATCCCATGTGGGAGTATAGGATGCATTGTTAAGGTTGAAACTATGTGACAAATCACTATCAATGAATAAGGTAGACACTGGCTCATGGAAGCGAAAATTGGCATCCATTGCATTTGATGGGCCTACTTTGCCACCGTTATCATCAATGTTTTTCATGTCGACCATCAATGCAATCTCCTCATCTTTCTTGTTTGTGTCTTTGACACGATCAACTGCATACATTCCATTGCATGCCAACAACTCACTATCAGACTGAACAAGTTGTCTAATGGTGTCAATACATGTGACGATCCGTAAAAAAAAAAAATTATTAACACGCTAATTAGGTCGTCAATTATGATTCCATATAACTAAAGGTTATTTTTAAAAATTTTAAATAAATAAATTGACTTCAATTATGAATGTTTATGTGAAAATAAGTCAAATGATCATAATATAGGTCATATTTCATGTTAAAATAATGTCATAGTGTCTGAATGATATATTAAACGAGCAATATATGAATAATATGCGATTTAGTCAGAGATATTATAAAAAAAAAAGGGACCAATGTCATATGAAGCATCTAGTCATCCTTTAAATGACAAGTGTGTTTTATTAAAAAAAAACCTTAGACCAAATTTGGACGCTTGTCTAATGACATCACATGCATTGGAAGCATGGTGGCAAGCCTGGTGACGTGAGCTAAACTATAAATAGCCATGGCCAAAACGCATAACAAGGTGGAGAGAGAGAGATATTTTTTTTTGGTCTCAAAAGAAAGAAAGAAAGATGAAAAGAGAGAGGGAAAGAAAGACGAAGAGAGGGAGAAATTTATGAGATTTTGAGGTCAAAAATTAAATAGTAATTTTACTTTCGATCGTTACCAAATTGAAGTTTCTTGTTCGGGGTACTTCAAATTTCTTGTTTATTGAAATTATTAATGATTTTGGTACAGGATAATATACAATATATTCCTGTCTTTCAAATCTCTTTGTAAATGGTGTCTTTTTTATTATTTAAAATTTGTATTTCTATTGATTATTCTGATTGATACGACATTCTGATATTTTTATTGTTTAACTTATATTTTGGGCTAAATATATTTGTACATGTAAGAAGTGTACTTGGGGCATAATTAATGAAATGTGATTATGGCTTCTGCAAGATGCGATTGTGATTACAGCTTCGCGGAGTGTGATTAGTTATTATGAGTATAGATTTATATGCCCAAATGTCACTTGTCATGTCATAAAAAAAAAACTGAATATGAGATTATGTTTGATGGCAGTTAAGCTATGTGGCCTGTCGAATGTGATTTTTGATTTTGTTATCCATGATTCTTATTATTTGAATTATTTGGTATTTAGTCATTCGTATTTTTCTCGTTGAGCATATTGTTTTATGTCATATTGTAACTTCCCCGCTTTTGATATTTTATTTTTAGGATAATCTCAAAGAGAATAATTAAGTTGATATTTAAAGAATTGAAGATGGACAAATCTTAATATAATTTTTAATTTTGATTGATATTTAGATATCAAAATTGTGATTATAAATTTATTGAGACAATTAAGTTTTGTTCCTATATTCGAAGATATTTATGGTTTATTATGATCGATCAATTTAATCAAGTAACGCGTCCAGGAAACTGAGGCGTTACAATACATGTAAAAGGCTGAGGTTAGGTGCCAAAATTTGAACAGGATGTGGTGTATTCTATTGACATCGACAACGTCTGATTACAGGGTCTAATTTGTAATTCGGGAACATATGACTCATCTTCCCTAGTTCCATGGCTTGTAATGAAATCAACAGCATAAACATCGTCTGCCATAAAAGCCATGCACATATTGATTTGTTCTTTCAGCATAATGAGAAGGGCCAATTGTAGGCGAATTGTGCGATTGATTCATACTCTCATGAGTAAACAACTGGATGTATGCGCCAAACTGATTCACCATTGTCTGAGGCAGATCCATGATTTCCTTTGTCTCTAGATATAAGTCAATACTATTAATTGCTGGGTTCTCAAAGACAACATCCAGCATATCCGCCACCCCATCATCATTTTTTATTTCATTTTTCAAGTTCTTTTGCATGTGATCCCTCAAAAATGAGGGAAATCGACAAATCGTCTTTATTCATGATGGTGAACTATCCAGCTACGTGATGGTAGACACAATTTTCAACAATTCCTCATATTTGGTTCCATGTTTTAACTTAATACACTATTGAGGCTTGCCATTGTACAATACACCTTCTTTACTATATACAATAATACCTCCCCAAAAACACATTATGGTGCGTCAACTCAATATTTTATACATTCATTCAAAAATATAATTTACAAAAATTCATTCATTTATATGCCTCTTATTTTCTTAGGTTTTAGCAGGGATAACTTTAATGATACAAGCTAAAACATATATTTTGCAATATGCCTCTTCCCGTTATGGTGTAAATATTGTTATTAAATTTCAAGTTTCATGTTCTTTCTCAACCTCAAGTTTTCAAGTTTTCGAAATATGATTATACTTTCATTCAAGTTTTCGTAATATGCCTCTACCTTTAAGCCTATTCATATCGCTATGCATGACTAACATTTTTTTGGACTTGTATAGGAAACTTCATTAAAAAAAAGTACCTATCTTTGGTTTAGAATGTTATAATAATTTAAACATATCATGAATGTTATCATAAAACATAAATTGCAATATGCATTAGGATTGATAAACAAACCAATGAATAAGAAGCATTCGACTATAAATCTCAAACAAACGAATGAGTATTTAAATAAATACATATTATTTCAAAGTTGTAATAATAAGCCTTTCTTTCCACATCGAATAAGATAGTGTTAGCAAAAATCTTGTTAGAAAATAGCTCTTTTTCAGAATTGCTATCTACAGAATTTTGGTATTAATGCAGCAGGTGAGATCCTAAAATAAGGCTTCTACATCTCTTGTTAANTTATAACACGAAATTAGAGGATTTAAATATTCTTTAAGTCACCTATTTCATAGTCGGATATGAGTGTGAGTATTTTTTAATACAAATTTACTTAAATCTAATACGATTGACAAGTCTAATCATATCATTCGAGATAAAAGGATACTGATATCATTGCTAGTGTGGTACCTGCTTGCACTGGACAGCATCACAACCAAGGGTCTTGAATGTGGAAGACTTAACCGGATCAAAAGTGGTAGAAGAGCACCCCACACACCCACTGCAAGGCACCCAAGCAGCATCATTGCTAGTATCCACAGCCATGAGCATAATTTGAGCTGGTGTCCCAATCTTAGCCCTCACTACATAAGTAGGGCTCTGTATAATCTGCCTCCCGGAAGCGATTGGCACGATCGACTTTCCGGCGACGAGGCTGGCCAGGTACTGGACCCTGGCCTGGTCCTTGGACTGCATTTGGAGCACACTCTCCTCCCATGAGAGTGGTGTTGCTGGCCTGAATGGGGAGCATGGACTGTACACATGGAGGACTTCAAGGGTTGAGCCTTGGTCATGTGTGTTACACTTGGGTTCGAGCCCTTGGGTTGAGGAGAGAGAAAGAAGGGCTAGTGAGAGGAGGAAGGGTAGTAGAGCAGGAGGTGAGCTCTTCATGGCTGTGGAGTGACTTGGGTTTGTGATGGTTGAGTGAGAGAAAGAGCGAGTATATATAATGGGTAAGACTAGCTAGGGGATCAAAAAAGATTTTTTTGGGTATAACCAAGTTACTACAAAAATAAGGTTATAGTGAGATTACTAAAATGAAGTTTTTTCTTTTCAATCTCAATATTTTAAGACTAATCCCGATTATTTTAGTAGTAATTCGACTTATATAACCCCAAAAAATTATACCTTGACTAAAAAATTAAATTCTTTGGTGTGATAACTCTTTCAGTGCCATAGCATCGGAAGTGCCCTTGTAGTGGAGGAAATGTATTGGCTAATATAGCAAGTGGGTAGTTCTGTAACAGACTGTATTCCATTCACTTTTGGGTGATTGATTGTCATTCACATTGCTGTCCAAACAGGAGAGATCAAATCATTTCTTATGGTATTTACTATTTAGTATTACGAATTTGGAGAATTTTACATTAACGACTTCGGTACAGTACCGCCAATTACTATTTTTTTGATAAAATTATAATTTAAAAGGGAGAACAGGCTATGATCAATCAAGAATCCAAGATGGATCACAGACACATATGTTCGATCATGGACTTTTCCTGAGCAATTGTAACTTCTCCTTTTTGAGTTGTAATTTTATCAAAAAAAATTGTAATTTACAATTTAAAAAAGTTGTAATTTACACCTCAAAAAAATTATAAATTAACCTAAAAATGTTGTAACCGGCAGTACGTTAGCTCCTTCGGTACCGTAGACTTTGCCTATGAATTTGGGGATGTCACTTTGTTTTTCACATTGTTTATTTGTTTTTTTAGGGAGAGAAGAGAGAGAGAGAGAGTGAGAGAGAGAGTGGGAAAGAGACACATTAGACAACAAGCGAATGAGTTTTGATTATTTCGGAGGTGAACAGTCCTCTTCATATAATTAAAACAATCTGAGCATACATTCTGCCTGTTTTGTCCACTAATCAAATATAATAATCGCAGCATGTGAGGAAACCATAACAAATTTGCAATAAGCAACTAATAGGAACCCATTTCTAAATTTGGGCACTATTTTAATTTTGTTTCTTTGGTACAATTGTTTCTGACTTATTTCTTAGCCTATTGTTGTTTAAAAAAAAAGATGAAAGTGTTTGATTAAAGGGTTGTATGTATTGGATAGTATTGGATAGATTCAAATGTTTGCAGAAAGTTTTTTTGTGCATTCTCGTGGACTTGCCGGGAGTTTATAAAATTTTCAATTAGTATATAAAGTGACACAAATATTAATAATTAATTTGAAATAAAGGTATCCTGATGACAAACTATCATCTATTAACCCCAATAGTATAGCAAGTGATAACAGTAACGAGTTATAAACTCATATTTCTTGAGTTCGAATTTTGACAATACATTTGAGTCAAACCACGAGAGATTTATCCTTCATGAATACTCTAGTTCTAACACGAATGACATGCATTTGATCGGACCAAGGAGAGGATTAGTCAATGTGCGTGTAAGTTGATCCCGACACTCTTGACTGTTAAACCACAAAAAATAAAATAAAAAAATTACCATTTATTAGTTTTTTGGTTTAACACGTGAAAATCTATATTATACTCTACTGTAAGAAGAGAAAAGAACCAATACAATGGGTGATGCACAAGATCAATATACCTGTTAAGTGGAATTATTTACCAAAATGCCATTCTTTTTAAATAATATTACCAAAATACGGTAGTTTTGAACTTGTTTACTAAATTACGATTATTTTTAAAAGTTGATTCAACAATTACGCTGTCATTGAAAAAATGAATTTAGTAAATCTCCTTTCATGTGTAAACAATAAAAGAAAGTGTGGATGAAAATTCCGTGTTTAGTTAAAAAGCGAATTTAGTAAATTCATTTTTTCTATGGAAGCGTAATTACTAAATCCGCTTTTAAATTAAAATTAGCATCTCCATCCACGCTTTCAGGAGAATGAGGCTGTTGTAATAAATTTGTATTGACCATGAAAACGTATTTACTGAATTCGCTTTTACTTGAAAACGGATTTACTGAATCCGCGTTTATTTGAAAATAGATTTACTAAATCCGCTTTTAGATTAAAAGCGAATTTGATAAGTTCTCTTTTTGGAAGAAACAATATTTTTCAACTTTACTATTTTTTTACTGTCCAAACGTCCTTTGGTGTTTTTTAAAAGACTAGCAGTGGACGACGTAAATTTAAATAGTTTTTTTTTTAGAAAATGTAAATTATATGTGTAATTAAATTAAATAATAAATTAAGTACCAAAATTAATCTATATTTTAATTATTAAGGTATCTCTTCAATCACTTTAGGCATTTGGATATCTAATTATATTATAGAATTAATAATTTTTTCTTTGTTAAATAGGTTGATTAGATCACTTGTAATATTATTATATTATTATGTACCAAAAGAATAAAATATAACATATATTTGACCGTGAAATTCAATTTGATAACTTTATGTGTATAATAATTTAATATATGTAAGATTTTACTTTGTCATATAAATCTAAAAAAATTATATATAATTGTATTACTAATAAATGAGTTCAAAAGAATTTAGAAGTTCTTATAAAATAGTCCAAAATAAATTGAAGGTCAAATAGGAGTAAAAAAACAAAAATTAGATGAAAATATATAGGTGGGTATAATTGACTTTATCATAATAATTATGAGTAAATAGAAAATCAAAATTTTTTCGCTGATGCTGAACTTCATGTATATAATAATTTAACATATATATGATTTTACTTTTTCATATAAATCTAAAAAATTGTAGATAATTGTATTAATAATAAATAAGTTCAAAAGAATTTAGAACTCCTTACAAAGGAGTCCAAAATAAATTGAAAGTCAAACATAAGTAAAAAATAAAAATTAGATAAAAGTAGATAGGTGGGTATAATTGACTTTATCATAATAATTAGGAGTAAAATAAGAAATTAAAAATTTTTCGCAGATACTGACATTTATAAGTAGTATAGATTACACAAAAATAATAATCCTTTACGGATGACATAATTGTGTATATCTAATCGTTTTTTTTGCTTTTAACAATCAACTTAATCTACAATGTAAATAACATAATAGTTAATTTATTTATCTGAAATAAGAATACAAATGATCATGATCATATGAAATGCAAGATAAATACAATAATATATGTTTTCTAATGAAGATCACATTGCAAACAACATAGTGGTTTGCCACGTACGCACACACTGGCAAGGAGAAATTTTTCATACTCATCATCAGTTGAATCATCAAAGTCTGATAGTTCATGGTCAGGAGCTAGTAATGGATCTGATAATATTGCATTAATAGTATCGACAGGATCTGAATGCTCTATCTTTGCCTTGTTGATAGAGTGGAATTGATCTAGATGTCATTTGCATTTGATCAGTTTCACATTGAAGTTTTGCTATGATATCATTATAGTTGTGCACCATTTCACGTATATTTCAGTTGAATATGCTTGTGGTACTCGTAATCTATGCCAACAACAGTATACTTCAAGCTCATAGTGCTTGAAATATTAATTCAACCACTTTGGTCCCTGTAGGTGGTAATAGAACTCTAAAGGCAGAATAATTGTTGCAGGTCTAATAATCACATAGTCGACTTATGTGAAAGGATTATGAACGTTGATTGACTCATTGTGAAAGTCACTGAAGTTTCCATACCACTTTACATTGTTGGAATCTGTGTAGTTACCAGGTTAGATCCTGGTGTGTAGCATGATGTTGACCACCGTTGCTCAAGGAAGAATTTGGAATCTAATTGCACATAGTCTTAGTTGGCCGACGCATGTAGACAATTATGAGGGCATTCATATTTTTTAATCTGAAATATTCTGTGCGTTATCTTTTGGCAAGCCTTGAGCCGCCACTTGCTCCCAAATTGGTGTTTTTTACACTGTAAAGCTAATAATTTTCTCTCACTCTCAACTATCTCGAATTGGACATGATTTCTAATAAAAAAAAGTTTTCACTACATCATGCAACTTTGATTTGGACTTGAAGATTAGTCCTTTGGATAATTCAGACTGGCGGGGATCCCATGTGGGAGTATAGGATGCATTGTTAAGGTTGAAACTATGTGACAAATCACTATCAATGAATAAGGTAGACACTGGCTCATGGAAGCGAAAATTGGCATCCATTGCATTTGATGGGCCTACTTTGCCACCGTTATCATCAATGTTTTTCATGTCGACCATCAATGCAATCTCCTCATCTTTCTTGTTTGTGTCTTTGACACGATCAACTGCATACATTCCATTGCATGCCAACAACTCACTATCAGACTGAACAAGTTGTCTAATGGTGTCAATACATGTGACGATCCGTAAAAAAAAAAAATTATTAACACGCTAATTAGGTCGTCAATTATGATTCCATATAACTAAAGGTTATTTTTAAAAATTTTAAATAAATAAATTGACTTCAATTATGAATGTTTATGTGAAAATAAGTCAAATGATCATAATATAGGTCATATTTCATGTTAAAATAATGTCATAGTGTCTGAATGATATATTAAACGAGCAATATATGAATAATATGCGATTTAGTCAGAGATATTATAAAAAAAAAAGGGACCAATGTCATATGAAGCATCTAGTCATCCTTTAAATGACAAGTGTGTTTTATTAAAAAAAAACCTTAGACCAAATTTGGACGCTTGTCTAATGACATCACATGCATTGGAAGCATGGTGGCAAGCCTGGTGACGTGAGCTAAACTATAAATAGCCATGGCCAAAACGCATAACAAGGTGGAGAGAGAGAGATATTTTTTTTTGGTCTCAAAAGAAAGAAAGAAAGATGAAAAGAGAGAGGGAAAGAAAGACGAAGAGAGGGAGAAATTTATGAGATTTTGAGGTCAAAAATTAAATAGTAATTTTACTTTCGATCGTTACCAAATTGAAGTTTCTTGTTCGGGGTACTTCAAATTTCTTGTTTATTGAAATTATTAATGATTTTGGTACAGGATAATATACAATATATTCCTGTCTTTCAAATCTCTTTGTAAATGGTGTCTTTTTTATTATTTAAAATTTGTAT